TATATATATATATATATATATATATATATAGGAAAAACAACGCTTGTTTTGTAAGGAAAAATCCTAATTCCTCAGCACATTCAGTCAGTATTTGATAGAATTATTTTTTGATGTCTGTTTAATGTTTTAGCTCAAAAATCACTAGAAACATCAAGTCCCAACAAATATATTTAAAAATTTAAGAAATAGTTATTTGAAGAACATTTAAATGCCTGCATAATTATTGCCAAGCCAGTATGAATAATTTAACATTTAAATTTCTTTACAGAAATATGGCTACTGTTTTTGAAAACCTCTATTTATTTTAACCACTAAACTATTGAACATGAATAATCTCAAAATTGAATATTATAGAAAACAGCAAATGCCAAGAGAGCCACAATATATTAAAATCATGAAATTTTTCTTCATAAAGTTCATAATTGAAATATATATATATATAGTAAATGTTTTTTATATATATATAAATTTGATGATATAATTACATTTCTGAAGGGACTTAATAAAAAAGGTCATATATTGAAATATTTATATGTTAACAATTTATTACATAAATGTTAAAGTACATATTTGGTCAGTCTATTGTATATAGACTAAGTGTATTTACAATACTCTTTCTTTTATTTTTCTTTTGGTTTTTGTGCATTTTACATTATTTCATACTAAAATTATGAAGCATTTTCTTAGGGGGTTAATCTGGGTTAATCTGTGCTATGAATCCACAATAGCCAGTATAAATGACCAAAAACAATGTAATGCTACTAAATGACTACAGTAGGACTGACAGAAAACATAGAATATAAATCAAATAAAATTTTTTAGAGACATTTCTCAATAATTGTCTTATTAGCCTATTATCTATGTTTCTCATTTCAAATAAAAAAACAATTTATGATTTTATTAAACAACAATTTAATAATCTGTCTAGTTTCCAATTTTAAACTAACCCAACTAAAACACAAAATTGACTCTGCTAACTTTTATTACCAGCAGAGGGAGGCAGTGAGTTTTGAATGAGAACTGTTTTTACTTGAAAATAATCCTGGAAAAGCCAGTAAGATGACTGTGCTTATGAAAAAGGATTTTCCAGCTGCTCGTGAATCCTATTCTCTGAGCTGCTGTGACTGAAATCTACCCCAGGCGGCATGGGACATGAAGAAGGTTATGCTATAGATGTTTTTGCAAGCCAATAATGACGCTCCTCAATGTGATAGATGTGTGCTTCTGTGCCTATGTGAAACTCACATAAAAAGACCAATGCATACCAACTCCACATAGAAAAGCCTAAAGGGTGTGGACCACAAATATTCAAGCCTACAGTGCAAACTGAACTCCACATTCAGACACTTGACTCAGTAAACAAAAGGGTTTGCAGAGAAGTCTGTCATATTATTTCTTACAGTCAGTCCCAGAAGTATTCATACCTTTTGTTTAACATTTTGCAACAAAACAGCCCAAATCCTCAGAGTATAAATAAGTTGTAAAGGTGCAAAGCTGTAAAAAAAAATAAATAAATAAATCCAAAATTTGAAAATCCTTGTCTCAAGTGGAGGAGTTCAGATATCTTGGGGTCTTATGAGGGACGGATGGAGATCGTCAGACTGATCGGAGAGTCGTCGGTAGTGATGCGGTCACTGTATTGGACTGTCGTGCTGAAGAGGGAGCTGAGTCAGGGGGCAAAGCTCTCGACTTACCGATCTTTCTACGTTCCCACTCTCACCTATGGTCCTTAGATCTGGGTAACGACGGAAAGGACAAGATTGCGAATACAAGTGGCCGAGATAAGTTTCCTTCGCAGGGTGGCTGGAGGCCCGCTTCGATATAAGGTGAGGGGCTCAGTTGACCGGGAGAAGCATGAAGTAGAGTTATTGCTCCTCCACGTTGAAAGTAACCAGCTGAGGTGGCCTGGGCTTATGTTCTGTATGCCTCCTGGTCGCCTCTCTCGGTGGGTGTTCCAGGCATGTCTTATTGGGAGGAGGCCTCGTGGAAGGCTCTGGACATGCTGGAGGGACTATGTCTATGAGCTGGCCTCTTGTCGCCTTAGGGTCCCCCCAGAGCAGCTGGAGGAAGTGTGTGTGGATCTGGAAGTCTGGGCATCTTTGCTGCCTCCATAAAGCGGAAGAAAATGGATGGATTGAGTTTGAAAAAGGTCAAGACTTTCTGAAATCAGTTTTTTGTGGCATTTACAGCTACAAGAGCCTTTTGTCCATTGAGCATTTACATACCAATTGATCCATTGTCTATCTCTGCTGACAGAGGTGGGACAAAGTCATTATTTCCCAATTCACAAGTAAGTCTTTTCTGCCAGGTCTCATACCAAGTCTGAGTCATTTGGTATAGATTCAAAAAATTAATTAAAAGATCATGCATCAGTCATCCCTGAAATGTTAATGATGCGAGGAAACCAACAAATGCACATCAATGTTTTATCTTACTATTCATTTCTATGGTAAATTTGGACTTCAATGAAAGTATCAAGTAATTTAAACTAAAGATTCTCAGGTCAAGTTACAAGTCATTGGTATTGAAGGTAAAGTAAAGTTGTATCTTTTCTAATATAACCAAGTCAAACGGAATATATAACATAAGTCTGACTCGTGTCCATTTCACATCAATGTCCTCAGCTGTGACTTTGTCCAAACTCTGAGAATACATCAGGGAGATGGCCATGAGAGATTAAGCGCTCCTCCCATCATGGGAGGAAAACCCTCTGCATGGGATCTGCCACCAACAGATAGCAAAACGACTGTCTGATATGACCCAAACCTAGCAATGGCTAGAGAGGGTCAGACTGAAGGACCGGACCTGATCTACCCTACCAGATACCAGGTCTAGGCAGTGGTGGAAAGTAACAAAGTATATTTACTTGATTGCTGTACTTAAACTTTTTATTTGGCCATCTTTACTTTATTTGAGTAATTTCTTAGGGGTGCTTATAACTTTCATTCCACTACATTTCAAAGTCAAATGTCGTACATTTCTACTTCGCTACATTACTAGTTACTTGTCACCTCTGGCTCAGATTAGATTTGTAATCCTTTGTTGCTGGTTTTCTTTGTTGATATGCAATTTCCACATGGGCGATACCAGTCCTTAGTGCTGAACTTGGACACCACTGTTTAAGAGGTTTACACAACATTTCACAAATATAAGGAACACTGGGCAGATATTATTTATAGTTTATCAATTTTATTAAGCTATCAGTTGTTGCCATGTGGCCAAGTTGCTGAGTATGATGCTCAAGAGTTGGGGTTTCTTTGTTGTAATAGATTGAACCTTATACCACTATTCTATAGTGACAGTGTGCGGGGAATCAAGACTCTCCTGTTTTCTTTTTGGTTTGTTTCTGAAAAAGAAATAATAATCAAAATAGCTGTCTTTATTTTTATTTTTTTGTCGCATTTCTATGCCGATAATCTCAAAAAGAGGTGTAGAATTTCTAGCAGGTCATTCTACGCATCAGGTGGTTTGTGAAGTTACAAGGCTCTTAAAAATTACTCTGAAAATGATACAGAAATGTACTGATATTAGAAAACACAATTTCTATATTTGAATACTACTGAAGTCTTATCAAAAGTTAGCACCTCAATACTTTAACTATAGTAACTTTTACTTGTAGTTGAGTAAGATTTGACTATAATATCAATTATTTTATTAAGGTACTACTGTTGAGTACTTGATCCACAGCTGCTTAAGGATACTCAGAGAAACATCAGAATTTAACTTCGGGGGCCACACAGATTTATTCTAAAATCAACAAATGGGCCTAGGGCAGCACGTTTGCCTAGCCTAAAGAGAATTAAAAAGAGGATAGTTTATCCACCATGCTAAAGAAAAACCTACCCATATCATCATGCTGCCACCACTATTTTTCATATTGGGACTGCCTTGTTCCAGGTAATATGCATATACCATTTGAAAGCAGACCTTATATGACTTAATGGACCAGAGTACCTTCTTCCTTATGTCTGCAGTGATCCATATTTGTCCTTTGGTAAACTTTAAGCAGGACCTTGTCTTTCAACAATGGCTTTCTTCTCCGCTGTTCCATAAAGGCCTGTTGACAGATTCTCACACAGGTTTAAAGGAGATCCTGTGAAGCTTGTATTACAATAGAAAAGTAAAAAAGAATAATTCTTAGACACACAGTAATGCAACTTGAGCACATCTGCTTTGTGGATGTTGTAGGGCATGTATCACATGGTTAGAGCCTAATGGTCTCAGCAACATTTCCTCTCTGATAGACCAGCAGCTGACTCTCACCTGTGTTTCTTCAATTTCCAACAGGTAAAGTCAGCTGCTTCACTCTCTTTGAATAAGTAACCATGAGCATGCTCATTTTGAAAGCACATCTGCAGTTTATTTTAGAGCCCCTCTGCTGCCCACAGATCTACCCGCTGAAAACAAAAGATTGGACATCCCTCTGACCTTATGGGATTGTTCACACCCTTCTTTCCTCCCTTTCCCTTTTTACTTTTGGCACTGTGGTGTTCTTTTCTTCCCTCTGACCACAGTCAAGAGGAGGGCAATCAATCATCGAAATTGTCATGAGCTCTGGGAGTGGGAC